GCTGGGACCTTATATTTCGCGGTAAGAGGAATGGTTTAAAAGAACCATCAAAGTTCAAATGCATTTCATGTGGTATATCGAAATGTTGTCCTTAAGTTATAAAATCTTTAGATGAAACCGGTCCCCAGCCTGTCATATATAAATAATAGGAAGTTGTAACGTTTTATTGCAGTGTATATAAAACCCGAATAGGCACTTCTGGCAGTAGGTAGCACAAATGAGCCGATGATAAATGGGATCAGAATTATTTAGGAGTTTACGAGAATTTCGTGATGAAATAACTTTGATGACATCAAAGTGAACGAAGTGTGTTAGTATATCAAAAATCACTATCAGATTATGTGCTGGGAATTGATGCGTGCGTGTGTATGTGTCGTCTTTCACACGCGTCACATGAAATTGTCAGATTGGCTCATATAAAACACATTTAAACACTGATTCTTGCAGATAACGAAAACAGTGTGACATAACACATACGTGTGCATAAATGTAAGCTTTGTTTTATTTTGTGCGCGTGCTACTCGCTTTTCAATCCTACGACCGAAACAAAGACGAAGCGGTTCTGATCCTGCAGCTTTGAGAGATGATTTCTGTCATTGAGTCGACGCTGGTACAGAAAACATCGAGCCGACTAGCTAGCTACTGTTAGTAAGAATGATGAAAAGGACAGGGGGTATAGCACATATAAGAGAGGCAAGAGATATGTGCAAAATTTGACAGGAAATTTAGCTTCCCAAGCTAACATGAAGTTTAAGGATGTGGACTGATTGTATTTGCCTCAGGGTAGCGTCCATCTGGCCAGATACAAGAAGCAGGGGAGAACCGGAATTTTGGAAAGGAAAGAACTGAGAGACACAATTTGAAATTTGCAGAATAATACTCATTTTCACATTAGGAAGTTGGTGAGAATGATTGTTATGCTGACTGCGGAGCCTTTCCAGTCCACTCAATCTAGTTCTTAGAAGATACCTACCTGCATAATTTCCTGCCCGACAACTGACCATTAATATAGGATGCATCCTTTATTTCTTTATGTAGCATTAACTACGATTTCAACATTTCAACTAAAATATTACACCAAAATTATTAATTTATTTGGGATGACAATTTCAACAGAAAAGCAAAGAAAAGGGAACCAGTAAATAGTAAGATGATAATAAAAACTAAAATAAAAAAGGCATAAATACTTTCAAATACCTCAATTGTTCAAGGGTAAAAAGCTGTAGATGTTATAATTTCTATTTTTTATAAGTTTCAGGCCTTATCACACAATTTTCAAACCATCAAAACCCAAAAGACACTATAATAAACAATTATGATAGCCTAGTTTTACTAACGCTTTCATATTTGAGTGAAACTAAACAGTAAAATTAGAAGACAGAGTAAAATCTCTTAAATAAATTTATGAAAAGAATAGCGAAATACACTAGAACTTCAAAAGTCATACTAAAATAACTAAACATTGAACAATATTTTTAAACTATGGAAGCAGTTGGTTCCAACATATTGTCAGACTGCAAAGAGAATGACTTCGCAAACTATTAAAAATTTGCCTACCACGTGGATTAAGAAACCGAAGACGATCTATAAAGAGACTTCTGGACGATTCAGACCGGAACAGGACAGCCAGTGGCCTGATTGCTTGACTGCTAGACGGTTATAATTGTCGGTACGGGGGATGGGTCTACGTTTCAGGCGTATTCATTATCGGAAATCTCCAGGACAAGAATACATTTAAAATGTATATGTATCCTGAAATTAGTAACTTGCATATTTCCAACACTTATCGCCCATATATTATCGATATTAATCACGGTTGGAGTCTTTAAATATTCTGCCTAAGCTAATGGCCATAACCGGAAGGAAAACATCGTGTCTGTTGCAAAAGGCTTTTAAACTAGCCAGGCCATGGACCGTCACCTCACACTTATTTATATTGATTCTGCATTTTTAATCTGACCACTCCAGTTAATTAAAGGAAGGTTAAAAACCAAGAAATGAACAATAAATCAGAACGTATCTTAAGTTATATCACAGAATTTGAAAAATAAATTAAGGGGCTCACAAAAAATTCACCTAAAAATAACCTTCGTCAGGACTCGAGCTAGGTACTGTAAAACGGCAGTGAGCCGCATGTGGGGGTTACAAACACCTAAGACGAGCGACGTACACTCCCCGGAAGTTGAGAAACTTGATCTCCTTTTTTTCGTTAGAAACATCTTTTTTACCTCTGAAAAATCTGTGTAAGCTGAATGAATATTGTAGGAACAAAAAACCTATTACCAATTGTATGGGTGGGTGTTTACGTGTTGGGTTACTATGGCAACAATTCGCAGGAGGGAGCCTATCTGCACACCCAGGTGCTGGGATATCGGCCAGAAAGGGCAAACCAACGTCAGGGAGACCTCTTTCAACTAAAACTTCTAAAGCCAGGAAATCCGCGCAAGGAAATAGAGAGGAAAAGTAATCGAAAAGTACAAGAAAAAGACATCAATGAATTTCTAACGAACAGCATTCAGGAGCTTCCATTTGCAGATCGGTGCCTTTCCTACCAGCTGATATGGACGTTCACCTCAGCTGTCCGCTACGGTGGATGGTAAAAGGGTGTAGGCGGGGGGAGCGAGGGAGTGCTGAATACTGTATATAGCATGGAGTAGCGAACCATTGCAGACATTTGCAAGGTTTTGCATGGTGGTGCTCAGCTGTTGTTTGTGGAGTTTAGGGCAATACCTGCGGACATCCGATCGACTGCTGACGTCACCTGAATATGACGTATGTATACAAACTGACGATACCAACAAATTCTGTTTCTTAATTAGATTGGCAGCCGTTATTAATTTCTCAGATCGTTTTATAAACTAACTTACAACTTTCTAAAGCATTGTGCTAGTCTTAGATTTTCTTCCATTTTCGAAGTGCGAATGATTTCAATGTCACCTCAGATATTCAAAGACTTCTATCCGACGCGGTTTAGTAATATCTCTTAACATAATAAATATAGATGTTATGTATGTATATCGATATATACAGCTCCTGTTGTTTCCTGGTGTCGTTCTTCTAGAATGTAGCTTGATTCATTTTAGTTCATGAATTTCACAATATACCTTTAGTGTTTATTTAATTTGCAGGGCATGTAGCAAGCACGGCGGAAATGAGATATGCATACAGACATTTTGTAGAAAAACCTGAAGGGAAGGGAGACCTATGCCTAGATGGGAGAAAATTTTAAGTGGATCTTAGAAATGGATGTGACTTGGATTCAGCAGACTCAAGAGTTCTTTTGAACACGGTATTGAAATTCGGGTTCCATAAAAGACGAGGGAATTCTTGACAGCCTGAGCGCCAATCAGCTCTCAAGAAGTGCTTTGCTCCATTGTGTTAGTATTCAACAGAACTGTCACTCGAATTGTGGAAAGTGTTCAGGACTTAGAAAATAATCGTATGTTCGCCTATAGTTCGAGAACGGATACACCGATTTGCATCAAACTTTGCATACCTATTACTTAAGAATGGAAAGAGATTTGAGGAAGGTCAAAAACTGGAAAAGTGTACTGAATTCTAGTCTCTTTGAAGGAGGTTCTTGCAGCTCAGAAACTAAGCACGATATAAGAAAGGAGCCAAGACCAAAGTTGAATGTTTCGAAGTGAAAAGTTTAGAAACAAAGACTGTGTTTGAGTCCCGGTGAAGATACTTTTATAGCTCAGAAGCTGGGCAGGATAAAAGAACAAGGCCCCGACCAATGCTGTTTGTTTCAGCCAGGAAAAAGGCCCACAGCCTCTAAAAGTGCACTGGGTTCTAGCCTCGGTGAAGTTGAATACTTTAGCTCTGCGACGAAGTTCGATGCAAGATGGAATCCCGAAGACGAGCATCGCGATAAAGACGGTTGTCGACATTTCTCTTTCGCAAATTAATACAAAATAACAACCTACATATCTCCAATTCCCAGCATCGTTGCTTCAGAACTGAAGATTTAGGCAGAGTGTTTCTCCGAAACGTTTACTTGTTTCGGAGAAACATACTTTTCCTATCTTCAGGGAAGATGGATACAGCTTATCTCTTCACGTCGTTAGTGTCTGCCTACGAGTCAACACGGCGTCACATCCCAGAACATAGCCGTCGTCTTCACCGCCTTGAGAACCACAAAAAGTACCAACAGGTCTTGATGGTGCGGTACTTAATTAAGCATATGATCGAAGCCTATGTGTGGTCAAACGTAAAACTACGCAGGGTAGATGCATAGGGTCACTGACTTCTTGGACATTGCTTTGTGCACTCAACGTTCATTTTTATTATAATTAACGATTTTCCTAAAATATGGTGTGATTTATTCAAATACAAGATGTAACGTGTGGATTATATAGATTCTTAAAACATTTATCCAATACTCTCTATATAATCTCTACGGTAAATACTAGAGGATTCATTTCCAAACTGTCCTAGGCTCTTTAAATATCCTGGCCTTTAAGGTGAATTAAATGGATCGCAAGTTGCATAATATCATAATATGGCTATATAATATGTTACATGTTTTATGACTGTATGTGTTATGATTTCTCAAAAGCGATACACGTTTTAAGTAATGACGCTGGATGGCAATAATTTTCTACTTCAAATTGCTGCTACAATTACTCTTTTTATAAATATTTTAATAAGAATGAAAGAAACGTTGAAATAAGAGATCTTCAATAAGCTTTTTCCACTAGGCATGCTATTGGTGTGATAGAAATATCTGATACCAAGCTCTAATTAATTAAAACGAATTAATCTTTGTTAGATGAATTATACTCATAAAATAAGTGACGTGTATCACGTTCAGTGAAAAACCTGTCGGATTCAAAACATGTGTAAAAGTTTATTGAGGTTCTTAAGTAAAGTTTCGTTAAAAACGAATCTAAGTTAAGCAAAATAAAGGTTGCTCGACAAAATTGTGTATAACCTTAGTTATAACATAGGCTGTGGAGTTACGTAGTTACTAATTCTGTGTGACTCCTACTATGCAGGATGCTACGTCTGGTGAGACTCAGTTTCGACTCGATGGACCTGGCAGCCCTGCTGGTGCTGGTTGTACTCGTCTTTCTCAAGGAGTACCGCCCCTTATGGAGTAAACTGAAAACTACATCATCACGTGAGTTGCACAATAAGTCTGTTATTAAACTAGTGCCACTCTAATTACAATAAAAAACAATTATATTGAGCATTGCCCATTGCCTCGGGTATATTTAATAAACATGGAGTTTTGTAAATTGGAGCTGCTTTTCTCTTAATATAATTATTTGTCGTAATACTGATTTCTGTGCTAGGATAGTTAACCATATGCGAAGGAACACGATACATTACAAAGCTTTCTGCCACGCAAGTAATCTCCCAGTAATATACGTAAAGACGCTTTTGAGATGTAGGCCTAATAATATTATTAATTGCATAGGCGGGTTTTTATATGGATAGTATATAAGCGTGGGATAGTAACGTGGAGATAATTTCATAGTGAGGAAATTCATAATTAATAAAATTTTCATGGGCTATCATGTGTGTCAGCTGGTTATAAATCGAAGTTTCAAGGACCAGCTCAGTCCCAATCATTAGGTTATGATGTAAAGCGTCATACAGACCGTCTCACACATGCACATACTCAGTCACTGGGTGGGATTGATTGCCCGAGAAGACTTTATTAATGTTAGTCGCCGCGGAAGCTTCAGATCATATAAATACACAACTGTTGTTCTCCATCAACTATTATGATGGTGACAAAGTCGAGGAGAGTACGATAGGCGAACATTTATTTAGTAATTGTTGCGGGAGGGGATGCAAGAAATGCTTAAACATTTTAGTCGAGAAATGAAAAGCAAAGAGACTTTTAGGAGACCTAGACGTAGATAAGAGGGTAGTATAGTGGCTATTAACCAACAGTTTTGGAAGGTACGGACTGGATTCTTCTGGTTCAGGATTTAGCCGATAGAGGGCTCTTTTGAGCCCTGTAATTAAACGTTTGGGTACGTACAAGGCAGGGGAAATACTTTTGACCATAATAAGCACTGAAACCACACCCATTTAATTAGTTAAACCTAGCAGTAAAACGAGACATAACTACATGCGCCATGCGATGTTCCTTCGATATTACGTGAATAAATGCAAAAAAAAATCTGTTTTTATTTTGCTTTTTAATTCGTGCTTATTGGCAAAGTGGCTCCTATGGTAGCACTAACATAAACAGATAACTTATTGTAAATGTTATTATTGTTTAATCTAAAACAAAAGTGACTAAATTTACACTACCGCTTTTTCAGAAATGAAATGCCTCTCGTATTCTTAAACACTGGCCATTATCCGAATAGGCTCAATTGCTCTCCTGCTTACGACGTAAAATGGGCTTCTTGACAAACTTTGTATTTGATTTTTTGAGCTGTTCTCTGTGAAACATCCTGTACTTGAAAACGGAGTTGGTTCCTGACGTTTCGGATACTGAATCCGATTCCATCATCAGAGGCTGATGCGAGTGATGTGGCTGCCCGTTACATTTCTATTCAGCCACGTTTTGTCGCGTCGCTCGTATTAACCCCTGACGATGGAGGCAGAGGGAGGCTCCGAAATATTAACTGACTGCATTTTCACACGGCTGATGGTTTGAGGAGACTTCGTTTCATTCAATCGTCAGTGCTTCAAATCGTTTAAGTAGACAGTATTTTACGAGCATTAGTTCGCAGAAAGCGAACCTGGTGCATCTTATCAGACACTCACAGGAAGACAGATCGACAGATATTAGTATTCCATGAGATATAGGCGTTACACATTCTGCTGTGCATCGAGAATGGTATACCGCGTGTCGTATTGTACCAGACCGACTTTATTCTCGCTATTCCCCGACCAGGAATGCAGTAGAACTCTAACGTGCTGAAAACCACGCGCGCACGCAACATACGAGCTACATTCTGATAGCATCAGTCACAAACAAGTGGTGGAGCCTGCTTTCTGTGGCCTGCGAATGGGCACTATTC